ACATATGCTACATATTATAAGGTATATATATGTATACATATAGAGGAACTTTTAAATCTTTTAGTGGCTAGTACCCGTTTCTGCCTACAGGTATATAGAAAAATTGGTGCGAATTATACTTTTATAGTATTTTCTAAGTGTTTTTTTCTATCATCCATCCTTATTTCAAAATGTCCAGTTCTCAAGTCCTGTTCGATATAACCACCTAATAAAACCATAAAACTGAAATATTAGTTATTCTATATTTTTTTATCACTTGGTATCTTATTGTTTTGGTCTCTTTTAAATAAACGAAATATCTTTCTAACAGCGCTGCCTTTTCCTAAATTACTGATACTCAATTATAATTTGTACAGGTTCCGCAAATGCACTTATGCTTGTCTATGAACTTTCTTGTTCATTACGACAACGACGACTTATCTGCCAACGCTTCGAGCTCAACTACTCCATAGTAAACGTCTGTTTGTATTATTACCTACAAAATGGTAGTTTCTACACGTCTACATATAAATGTGATATCAGATTTTGTTATGTATACATTAAGCTAGGATTTCGACACGCGCGATCAAACGGATTTTCAAATTTTAACCATCGAACGAATTTATTCTTCGCATAGGCGAATTATATGGAATAACTCTTTAAGGACAAGCATTTCCTGAATTAGAACCAGACTCTTCCTTTGCTTCTATGCCCACCCCGTAACTCGAACGACTTCATACTGCAATCACTGCGAAATAGTATTGCTTAGTTTGGTGGAAAGAACCTACTATCTGAGAGATTGTCTTGTATTAAGTGTTCAAAGAGGCAGCAAATCGAAAAGTATTTACGTTAGAAGATTATTCGACTGCGGCCACAACATAAAAACTTTATTCGATCTTGGCCTAGGTACTGTACATGGCCAGCGGTGCAACAGCAGCGGAGTTGAAGGCGTCCTCATCTGTGTACGCAATAGGCATTCGAGTTTCTTTGATCACCTGAAAACCACAGCCTTGATCACGTTCACTTCCGTTGTGAACCCTGACCTTCTCTCTCCTACAGTGTTTAATCTGACAACGTTGTTTACGATTACAACCATTGCGGTAATTGTAAGATTGTATTCTGTTCGGTGACGACTCCTTTTCGTCCGTACGCAAGTAGACCGAGATCAATAGGAATTCAGGAACAGTGGGCACTTGCATAGTCGTTAGGGTCCAAGTGCAGGATTTGGAAATACTGTCTCAGGACACAAACACGGAGCTTTAGACTTGCGTTCACCCGAGCTTCCACTCTCACCATAGGTTATATGAAGCCTTTTGGTATGTTAGTTTGCTAATGTCGGTAAACGGGAGCCGCCCTCAATTCTCGGCATCTCCACAGCAGGGGACTCCGCAAGACCCTCAGAGTAGTTGCTATTTCATGATGTAGCATCGGGAACATGGCCTAAACTCCAGGTGCCCCTCGAGGATGTTAGCATATGAGGCAAGCAATAATTTGTTCGATAAATTCCTAAGAACGACTTGTATGCCGAGAGAGGTTTATAGAGGACAACGTACGAACTTTTCCTTTGCAGGCAACAACAACAACAACGACCTTACGCGCTCACAAGCCAATTTTCTTCGCAGTCAGACGCTTCTTCCCGAGGAGGCAATGAAGAGAGACATCAGAGAATAGCTCCAAGGGCAAGAGGTGCTCAAAAGGGGACAAATAGTGTTTCGCAATGCTAACAAAAAGAAAAATAATGGAAATTTGAAAAACTACTGGAAAATTTGCATAATCCTTTGTATCATGTGACATTACGAATCAACATATACCATACAAGCTAAGCACGAAATGTCAAAGAAGCGCTCGTTCATCTTTTTCAAAATATCAACTATGAATAAATAGCGAAATATATTCTTATTATTTTGAGGTTTTTTAGGAGTACTTGTAAGTTCATCTACATAATATCCAAATAATTTGAAGTCGATACTTAGAAGTCGATCATTAGATAATATGTAAACTTTTTTTATACAGATTTTGCAGAACATGCAGTATTCGAAAATGTGTCACGAAATGCCCGGGACTTTTTTGCAGTGGGTCCTAAATGCGACAATGTTTCAACCCTCAACTTTGGAATAGTAAAACCTAAAGCGAACTCGCTAGACAATTTTTCCCTATATCGCTTTTCGGAAAGACATAGGGCTGATTTGAATGAACTGTCATCTTGATGAGGGATGTTACTTCTTCGTGATAATACAGCGGTAACGTGTTTGCCTACTGCTAGAAACAAACGAGATGATCTAGGTTCGAAGTGTTGACCATCTGAAACAAGGACTAGTAATGATATCGAACACAAAACTCAAAACATACTAATCCTAGTCATAATTTCGTGCCGTAGTAGAAACCAGTTGTTTAGAGCGATGCTTAACCGAAGTACCGAACGTAGAAACTTCCAGCGTTAGAGATGCCATATAGTAACGGCATAGTGCGATCGGCATATTGATAATATGTACCTAATTAATTAGAAAACACATTATAAGTTGCCCTTCAAAAAACACAGCACGAGAACTTCAAAAGATTCATTGTTGATTTTTCTATTAAAAAAAAAAAAAAGTATAAAAATCTTCCTTCGCTTATATTAATGAATAATTATTACAGTATCACAACTGATAATCAATATATAGATTCACTGATAATCTATTAGTTCATTCTTTTGGTATAAAAAAAAATAGATTATCTTCATTAGCCAAGCAACTCAAACAGAACTCTTCGAATACGATTCTACCGTAAATAAGTCGAAATATTTCTAAATCTATGACCACAACCTCTTTTTGTTTGTTGTTTTTACTCAGATCATTCCTGTTGGTATTTATCCGTACCTGCAACCCAAACAAAAAAGTCGGCACAGATCGCATGCTTTATATAGGATGTGTAAATTTCATTATACCGTGAAAAAATTATCGGCCTTTACCTTCATCCCTACTCCTCAGTGAAACCAGTATGCCCACAGGCAAGAGTGCCTATTTCGAAACCTATGCAAAAGCAAAGCGCTTACAGGCGTCTGTTACTGCTTATCTGTCGTCGCGATCAGCAGACTTGTATCCAGTTAAACTGTATCAACCGTATATAGTCGCATATCAGATCCGGTAAATGATTTACAGGTTGGCAATTTTGAGAGAGACACAATGAGGACTTTTCATACTTTGTGCTATTCCTAGCCCTTCGACCCCAACGGACCTTGCCGCCCTCAACCTCAGACGTGCTTAGACTTTTGGCATTCATATAGACGAAGCAAATAAAAAAATCAGACTTGATCGCCACCGCTGGAAGAAACGGCACCTAACCTTGAAGTATGCCGATGTGGGACAACAAAGAACGCAGAAAATATGCTGGAAGATTTCCTTGCATTTCTTGCAAAAAATGGGCAGCTTACTTGGGGCCATTGTTTTATAGAAAATTCATTGCGTATTTTTCAATTAGCTAGCCAGCTTATTGCGCGTTACCACATTGTCGTTAGAGCCAAACGGGTCTTCTAGATGGAATTGACTGGTACGGTTCTTTAGGTGCGGCCCAGTATTCGAAGCTGTACTGACAGCAAATGACGGATTCCACGCGAAAGCTATAAGCATGTTAAGAATACAAGATTTTCCATAATGTATTTTCGGGTGCCAGCGTTGTTGGTGTTTTCTCTAAAGAAGAAATGGAGGCATGGCTTGTGGTGGATTTTCGAAGCTGTGAAGACTCGTTCGTGCAAAGCTAGCTATGTGATGATTTAATGTAGAAGCTTCCTTTACAACTAGTACAAAGACAACAACGACGGCGAGAAACGTGGGACGACATAAAAATTAGGTTAGGTTGTCCAAAAATATAGTGCTGTTCCTATTTTCTGCTTCTGTTGTTCGGTTCATTATTTATTGATGGTATTGTGTCATATCTACTTCGAAAGCTGTTTCGGCCTTGAGATCATAAACACGATAAAACAAGTCGACGATATTATCAAAAATGTTATCACTCACATAAAAATAGAATGAACTTACTAACTCTTAACAGTATTTGAGCACAAGCAAATTAAAATTAGAATAATTAAACTAAGTTTTTTGTTCATCCGTTTGCCCGCTGACATTAGCACACCTACAGAAAATTAAGAGCAGAAAGGTATGTCATTGGCATAAATGGCAATGGTCGCTTTCTTATACTGTAACAGTTGCTTAATTGAAGCTCTACTGTGCTTTGTCACGGTCTATAGGGACCTCTTTAGGGGTCTTCCAGAGGAACCACGACCTAAAGGGTACCCAAAGGAGGATTAAGCATGTCTATCTATCATACAAATGTCTTGAATTTCGATAAACTTAAGGTGGCCCAGTTATAGGGGATAAATGCCCCTTGGGAATTGAAGCATGTGCTGGCAGGGCTCCACATTTACTTCGCAAACCTCACATCCTTCGCAAGACAGGGGATGGCTAAGTCAGTGCATCGCTAGCTGGGATTATATTAGTTAGTGGATATAGAAGGTACGGCTGAAGTTGTTTGCAGTTTGAAAAAGTTACTCGCCAATTTCAGAATGTTAATTTTTTACCTGTATAATACACATACATACATACATACAATACATGTGTGTGCCGTGTGTACGTAAAATGCACAACACTGCAATACATATTCAAACACCTTTTGTCACCCTGCACAATGCATTCGAGGGCTGTTACGCACGTCGGCGCAAGCGTACCATAACTACTCCAATGACGTAAATTGCACATGTACGAGGTAAACGGACTTGTCCTTTCCGGGTAGGCGGCAGAAGTTACGAAGGACTTCAAAGCTGCTGCTGCTTGGTGTAGCGAGTTGCTGGTTTTCCA